TCTGTCTGGGTCATTGATTTCCTTGTCTTGCCTTAAAACCCACATCATTTCTGAGTCTCCCAGTACTGAAGCAGCTGCATTGTGCCTTTCCTGCTCAACACCAGCAGCTTTCAGCTTCTGAAGTGTCCTTTACTGATGCTCATCTGAAGACCTCCTGCATGTGCCTCAAGTGGCCTCCCTGCCTGCTACATAACAGCCTGTGTTCTGCCAGCTTTTGTTTCATCACAAGGTTTAGAGCTGTTCTGCTCTTGGAAATTGGGTAAAATTTGATCTCCTTCCTATAATGACTCAGTGTGCTGGAGAAATGATTCTTGCCTTGTGCGAGCAGCTATGGCACAGCACAGAGCTGTGCCAGCCTCTGCTAGCCACCAGCTCCCCTTGGGAGAGCCCCTCAGCCAGCAAGGAGCTGGGGCTGCTCTGCACACGAATCTTATGATGGCTAAATATAGGGTCCATTGATAAATAAAACAAATGCACAAGGAATGCAAGAACCAGCAGTTGTTACAATGTCATCTTAGCTAATACAGCCTCTTCCTCTGTTCTTTTTCTCTCGTCTTTGTGGCTCTTTGTCACAGACCTGTACAATTTGAACACGTTTCTTTGCACACCCAACTAATAATATCAGTTCTCATGGAAAGAGTTTCCAGGATTAGGCTTGCAATGTGCCATTCAGCCCTGAGAAATGATTCTGCAAGAGAAAAAAATCTTGTCTTGCTACTCGCTGGGGCTGTGGTCGCTCTGTGCTTGCACCAATCAGAGCTTACTCCCAGTCCTGGTCTGCTGCCATCATTTAATGGCCAGGTACCTCCCTGCTCCTGTGTCAGACTTGTTTGCTGAGCTGCAAACTGTTGCCTACTGTAGTTTTGTACAGCTAGTCCTGAGAATCCAGTCTAGCCCACAGAAATGTACTTTTTTTATATTAAAAAAAAGAGTTTTGTTAGGAGTAATAAAGTTCCACCTCTCCTCAACCCTTGCAAACTGAGTGCGTCTGGTGTGGAAGTATGTGCAAGAAATAAAGTCTCAAATGTATACCCCTTACTCCTAAATTAATGCTGATCTTAAAGTGAATAATTTCACTCACAAGAAGTGTCAGATAAATTGAGTTTACTTAGGAAAGGGTGTTCTTCCAGAACACAGCTCTGCTGATCTTTGTCTTTCTAGAAAGCAAATTGCCAGTTTTGAAGCCGAATTCCTCATTCTAGGCCTGGAATATGTATGGAAAAATATTTCCAGAGATTTTCCTGTTATAAATAACCTGGAGGAGGTGAAGGACTCTGCAAAGCATGCTGCAAAAAGGATGGAGAAAGAGTTCATCTCTTGGAGAGAAAAAAAGAATCTTCATCTTAAATCTGATGTTTGTAGTGTGTGCTCAGGGTGAGTCACATGAGAGGCAAATAGAGATAAGAGCAGAGTCCTGAAAGAAAATGACTGATTTTAATCTCTGTTTCCCTGCTTACAGGGTCTTGGCTGCAGAAATTAAAAAGCTGTGCTTCCCTGTAATATCACCCTGTTAAATGGTGTATCATCATCAGCTCCCAATATTTTTTTGCCTATGCTCTCCATGTACGTTGTGCATATATTTATACACATATGTACGTATATAAAGCTTCTCTGTGGCTTTTTCTTAATGGGTTGCTTATAGTGTGTGCTGTACAGTCAGCTTCTCACAGCCCTCCTGCAGCTGTCAGAGCCACACCAAATCCCATCTTTAGCCATAGCATCTTCTGAACAATCACACATGAACTTTTACCGGGTTTATGTAGTTACATCTGAATGTCACTAGATGTCCTCTACTGCTAAGTAGCTTTACCTCAGTCCATGCCAAGCACCACACACAAATTCAGTGAAATGAACCTCAGCTGTTGAAGCTGTGTATTTATAGTTCAATAGTTCCTAGTCCATAGATGCACAATGATGTTCCTCATCCATAGCCTGAAGGAGTGCTCTAATACCTCTTACCAACTGGAGTTGCAGTGTAATTTAGAAAGGTGTTGGTTTCACACAGATTTGAAGCCATCTGACACGTCGTAGGTACACTTCAACTATCTCCTTTGCTGCTCATCTGAGACAACCATCAGGTAGGGCTCTGCCTTTGGTCTCCTTGTGCCCATCTCCACATTTAACACCCAAGGTCCACTCTCCGCCTTCTCTGCTGCAACCACTTACACCTTTAACAATGATCAATAAACAGTCACGCTGTTTATTTAGCCCTCGTAGTGAAATGTTGCACTACCTAGACAATACATTCCCTTAGAGACAGTAGGTCTGAGGTACAGCCTGACCTGAATAGTTCAGAGACTGTATGTCACTTTAATCCTATTGAGTGATGTTGAACCAGGCTGGAAATCTCGCCTGAAGTTGTATGGGGAAAATGTGGGCTAATATTTTAAGGTGCTTTTTTTTTTCTTTGAGTTTTCTATAAAGTTTGAAGTTTTGCCCAATCTGCACTTGCATCCTCCCAGGGAGGGCTCTTCCTGACAGTGTGTCTGCTGTCAAACCAAACTGAAAGTTTTCTTTGAGGGCTACTGGGGGTGACTCAGCAGGATACAAAAAATGCACTTAAATAGAAGTTGTATTGTGTAAGAGCTCAACCACAGCAACAATTCCCCCGTAGCAATGTTAACTAATATGCACTACAAAACATTTAATGTTGTTCCAGATTCTGGCTGGAATTGAAAGATGAAATGGGGATTTCTGGCTTTCCTTCTTACAAAATTTCAGTATGGGCAGGAGGACTCTAGAGAATGGAGGGATAGCCAGGAGTCAGGCCATAGGCATTTTCTCTTGAGTGTTGTTAACACTGATATGAAACACAGTAAAATTTTAGGATTTAGGTGTCCAAATGTTGGTCTGCTCCTTGTGTGGGAATAGAGGTACCTGCATGTGAGCAGAAATTTACCAGCTCTGAGCAGAGATCTGTTTAAGATGCCCAAATAGAAATCTGGATGCTCAGATTTAAAGATGTAAACCCAAAGCCTCTGGCCTATTGGTGCCAAGCCTGCAGTGTCCCAGCATTTAGGGACAAGGTTTGCTCAGAGCTGGGAACCTCCATTGCTCTACTGCATGCTTAACAAGTCCAACAAAAGTCTGTCTTCAGGAAACTGAGAGGATTTTTGTCCAGGAAAGAAAATTTGCAGCTAACAAGAGTGCAGTTTTGCACTGAATTCACATGCAAACCTAAGACTGCTGTTGACAACTCCCCCCCCCCATCTTAACATCCAAGCTGTTGATTCACATCAACAAAGTGTCTCAGCCCCATGGTTTAGTCAGAAAAGCCTAGAGGGGTTATTCTGGGCTCATTTTTTTATGTCTTCAGATGGAGCAAGATTAGTGAAGAATTTACAGGCAAAGAGGGCCAGCTTGCTTGCGGAATGCGTTCGTGGCAGTTCATAATACACCATTTGGTATGAGGCTGGGCCCTCCTTCAGTGAGATAAGAGGGACTCACCCAATCTTGGAGAACTCAGGCTCCGTATCTCCAAGGGCTCAAGAAAGGCCCAGGCCCACTTGCTAGAGCTGGGTGGCATGGCCAAATGGTTTGAACACAGCCTAGTGAGGAGCCCTGGTGCTCCACTGAGCCCTGTGGCAGCACAGAGGCAGCTCCAGGCTGGCTGTCCCTGTTCATGGCAGGGGAACTGGCCTAGATGGTTCTAAGAGGTCCCTTCCAACCCTAATGAATCTATGATTCTATGACTGCCCTCGCTCACGAGTTATTCTCAGGCAGCTGTTGCCCACATCCTCTGTACAACAGTGTGTATGCCAATAGCAGCGCTTGTGCAAATGTTGCAGGGCTTGTGCAAACGCAGGGCTTGTGCAAATGCAGGGCTCTGGCTGCCTTCAGCCAAAGGAAGGTGCAGGGTTGCAGAGGAAGCTGCAGGTGAGGGGTGGTGCGAAGCACTACACACTGCACGGGTTTCACCTCCAGAGCCGTGGGCACAAAGAAGAGAGGAGGACAGCAAGCAGCACCTGTGCTTTCCCTAAAGTCTCAACTGGGACTGGTACATAAAAGGCAAATTGTGTTATCACAACGAGAGGTACATGGCTTCCTCGTATTCAGCACAGATGTATATATATACAAATACGTGTGCGTGCAGCAGAATTGATGCTCACAGTGCCCTACGGGAGCCAGCCGTTCGCTGCCGTCCATTGCAGGGACACGCGCAGCTCCCGGGGGAGCGCCGGTCCCCGTGACAGCCCTCGGGCGCCTTAAGGTGCCTCCGCCGCTCCTCGGCCGCGCTCCACCTTAACGCCGGGCCCACTGCCACGCCGGGGCTCTGGGGCCGCGCGCTCCGGTCTACAGGCAAACGAGCCCGCAGCGTAACCCATCTCCCACCCCCCCGCAGGTGACGCCGGGCCTCCCCGCTGCCCGCAGCGCCCGGCCCGGCCCCCGGCGGCGGGGCGGCTCTATTTATAGCAGCGGCGCGGCGCTATAAGGGATGGCCGGCGGGCGGGGGCCGGCCGGCGCTGCCCGGCGGCGGGCGCCTCTCGCCGGGCATGGGCGGGCTCTGAGGGCGCGGCCCGCGGCGGCGGCCCCGGTGAGCGGAGGGAGGGCGGCGGGGCTCCGTCCAGCTGCCGGGGGACGCGGAGCCGGGGGGCGCGCGGGGCGGCGCCGGGGGCTTTGTGGAGAATCGCGAGCGTGGCAGCGCGAGCGCGCGGAGGTGCCCTCGGAGGGGTGGGAGCCGCGGCCAACTTCGCTCCGTCCCTCTCCCCGCAGCGCTGCGATGCGGAGCGCCGCTCGGGCATGAGCCGCCCCGCCGGGCCCTGCTCGGCCGAGACGGCGTCGGGAAGAAAGGGCCACGGAGGAAGCTCCGCGCTGCTCGGCTCGGGACCGCAGGCTGCCCACGGTAGGGCTGCTTTGTGCGGGCTGTCGGCTGCTCGGGGGTTTCTTGCTTCGTGGTAACGCGAATAAAGGGGCGGGAGCGGGTTCCGCGTCTCTCCCTCCGCAGTGCGCGGTGAGGAGAGGAGGGCGTTCTCCCTAGTTACCCTGTGTCACGCAGGGCTTTGTCGGGCGAGGGATCGCTGCGTTTGTGGCCGTCCTCCTTCCTTCCCTCCCCGCGGTTTCAGACGCGCGGCGATCTTTTACTTTCCTCCCTTCTCTTCTGCCGATCTGCGCGCTGCCTCAGCTCTTATCTTTTGGACCTCCGAGGACTTTGTGAAAGCTTCCAGATTGGTTTGCTCGGGCGTTTGCTGGGCTTCTCGAAGCAAGACGCAGATGCTATCTCTCCTTGCAACAAGGAAGAGGCAGTTTTTCTTTTTTTTGGTCTTTTTCTTTACTTTGAGACAGGACTGGGCGTTTTCAGCTCATGTGCGTGGGATTGTTGGGGATTAGAAAGCAAACTCACAACTTGTTTTTTTGTTCCCAACGGCTCAAAAACTCTGGAAACAGTGCTCGGAGAGCCTTGACTACTGGGCAGAGGGGTTCTGGCAGGTGAGGAGCAGGGTAGCATTGTGCTCGTTATGGACCACTCGCAGCATCCCAGTCTGTTCCTGGGACCCTCTAAAGATCGATGACTTTGTGCAACACACTGGGATGTCGTATCGGCGCAGGGTAGAGGCTCCTCTTGGGTAGAGGAGCACAGCTCACAGTGGAGACCTGAGCCCTGAGTGTGGCTGTCCCAGCACAGGTAACTGCAGCACCTCCACGTGCACCAGCGGGCATCGCTCTGCTTTAGTTGCTCAGTGTTGTGAATGTGTGAAAGTCTAAGCCCTCAAAACCTTGGTTGTCTTATGAGTCAACTCAACCTGGGATTTTGGTGGCAGGCTTGAAAGAATGCTGTTGTCTGGAAATATCTGTCATCTGGAAATTGTCGTTCATGCTTTGGTTTGTACTGATGCACCAGGTTGGTGTGCTCCATACCTGAGTGTATCTTTCTGTATTTCTGCAATGAAATTATGCATTTAGCTTCACAAGAGGGACAAATCTTGAAGGCTGAAATTTGCATGGACTAGCTGTCCTCAATTTTCTTTATGAAAAGTGCTTCTCTGTTTCTCTAAGTCAGTTAGGGCTGTTGTAAAAATGGGATTCTATTAGTTTAAGAGAAGGTAAAAGAGATGACAAGGGTGTGGCAAGGAAGTAAATGGGAACTTTAGGAAGTATACCTATGGCTTTGGATTTCCTGACAAACAGGAGTTTGTTCTTCACATTTGATCCTGGCAGCATCTCTTTAAAAGTTGTGGGTGCACTTCATGCCATTGTTTTGCATCAGTTTGTTTGACTTGCTGTTATTTTGATTCTCCATCCTAGGAAATATCCCACTTGATACAGAGCTCAGTGCAAATTGCAGAGGGTCAAACACCCTGTTAGTGTGGTTCCCAAGTCAGAGCAGCTGCAAAAGGAACAGAGCTGGCCCAGCATCTGTGTTGAGAACTAATGTGAAAGACAGTTTCAATTTACTGAAGTTTTGGTGGGTGTTTTTACCCGCTTAAGATTCTTTGTAGAGGAACTAAGAATTGCAGAAACAAAGCTGGCCTTCTTCATGGGGCTTGTGTGTGGATTGGGTGATATTTTGCTTGCTTATTTCATTTTGGAGTTGTTGTTTTTTTTTTTTTCCCATAAACTAAGACTGAAACTGACAGAATTGAAGGGATAAAACAGATTTTCAGGCAGGTAGACAGAACTTGTTTCCTTTTCTCCGCACCTTGATACTGGGAGAGATCCACTAGCATTTCAGGACTGGGAAGAAGAGGACAAGCCCTGTTTTTGAGCTGGTGTTGTCCCTGGCAAAGTGGTAAGTGAGGGCACTGTAAGAGGTGGATGTAGGACAAGTGATGAACCACTCTCACTGTTGACATCATGCTGTGATTCATCAGTGCTCCTCTTTGGCTGTATCTGTGCTCGAGACCTGTGTGGCTTGCCACTCATATTGTGTGCTGTTTGTGGCTGGCAGGTGATGTTTCATTGCTGGGAGCATTGGAACAGAAACTCTCCTCTGTTTGATTAATAATTTTGGAGGGCTCCTTGAGGATGGCTGTTTGGCCTTGCTTGTTTCTGCCTTTTTTTTTTTTTTTTTTTTTTTTTTTTTTTTTGCTATCTTTGGGTGTAAAATTACTCCTTGTGGATTCAAGCCAAGAGTCTCTATGTATGTCACCTGTGTGTAAAGCCAGGTCTCCCTGCTGACCTGTTGCATACAGGTTGGGCAGTTTGTTCAACTGAGTTAATCTATCCTTGAGGGGTTTAGGATGCTGACTTCAGCTGGACCACTCTTAATTTGTCTTTGCCTGGTTTAGTTATTTGCTTTGTGCTGCTCCTGTGGTGCTGTCACTCCTGGTGACTTCTTGCTCCTGCTGTGCTCAGGTTTCACAACCCCTGCAGTGCATTCCCCCTGCTTGTGGGAGTTATCCTCATCTTCTCCTAAATATGTAGCTTCCATGCCTTCCGTTACATCTTTTACCTGCATAGGCTGAAGGAGGAAGAAATTTTGCCTCAGTGTGATAGTGTGCAGCTTCTTTGTGCAGAGGGAACATCAGATTCTGGAGGTGGGGAATACTAACGTGAATCCACAAGAATGGTATTTGCATAAGCTTCTGCTGTCCTCAATAAGTAGATCAGGGCTGAGGGAACAGGTCTAATATGGAAAATATGGAATTCATTTTCAGACTTTCAAGCTAGTCCCGTAGACAGGGCTTAGGAAGAGAAGTAGTCTTAGGATATGGAAATGTGCCTTGAAAGTGACCTTTCAAAGATCAACAATATTATTCTTGGTGTCTGTGGCATCCAGACTTAATGAAATGTAAAGCAGAAGAAGTTGGGAGGATTTGGTCCAAGTGAAAACAGAATGAGCGTGGGACTGGCAGATGGGAGGAACATTAGCCCACTCCTTGGTGGAGTTGCTGCTTCTCCTGTTGTTGCTACAGAAGGGACTCGACAGAAGATAGTCAGTGGGAGGAGAGTGCAGACTGCTTGTTCTACTTGAATGTCACTGGATTTTTCTGCATGGGCACGAATGTCGAATGGTGCAGTGGGTCAGATCCTGAATGCTGGTATCTAATGTACATCCAGAGCAAGTCCATCAACTTTGTAACATCTGCAGTAAGGAACAAGTGGCTTTTTTTCTGAATAGAGGGGAGGAATGAACAGCTGTAGCTTAGGATGCTGAATTTCTTGGCATACTTTTTTCTTTTTTTTTTTTTTTTGAGATTTATGACTCTTATTCTCTATTTGAAAATGTAGTGGAGCAATTGCTGATCCATGCATGTATGCATGAGAAAATGCTGGTGGTGGAGTAATACATATGGAAATCTTGCATAGAGATATGACAAACTGGCCACCTGCTCTTAGATGATGAAATAATTTACAAAAATATATCTGCTGGAATAATGGCTGAGGAAAGAGGTGGGGGCAGGTTTGAGGGAAGTTAGCAGTATTTATCTTTGTAAGTAGTTTGCTGTACTGCTTACCGCTGACCCTCTTGCCAGCTTTACTGCTTCAGAAACAAGTGGTAGTTAATGCAGTAGCAGGTGCACAGACTTCATCAGAGGGAGCAGTCCATTGGACAGAGCTAGCATAAGAGATGGGAAACCTAAACCTGTCTCCCAGTGTTTTCTCTGTCACAGACTGCCTTTGTACTGATGGAGTAAGATCAGAAATTCTTGCAGCTAAATACCTGTGACTGTGCATCTGGCTCTCATTAGGTTTGCTGATTGGTGCAGTGACTGGTGTTAAGGTACTGAAAACCAAGCATTTACTCCAAGTTTTCATAGTCTACAGCAAAAAAAAAAAAAAAAAAAAAAGGTAGAACTGCATCAGCTCGCAGCCAGTTTCCCATAAACCTGCTCCCTGGGTATTGGTTAACCTTGCTAAGTGTGTCCTAGGGTCAAATCTGTTGCTTTTGTATGTGAAAGTAAGTCTTGGTTTGCATTGTGATTTACTGGAGTGTAAATAAAGCAAGGTCTTTCACTTAGAAGCTCACTCATCGGCATATATTAGTAACACTCATCAGTTTTTGACTGGAACTGTGATGGTGTAATTACTGTAAAAGGGTAACACATTCAGAACTACCTATGTGACTTCGGGAGTTGATTCCTGAGAGGCTTAGTCATTATTTTAAATAGGAGTCAGCTTTTTAAGCTACATATATTCCTGAAAGTTCTAAGAAAGGACTTCTATTATCATGTTTTTAAAATGTCAGTTTCTGGGACAGGTATGGCAGCTCTTCCACTCTACTGATTTCAGATATTAACTGAGGAGGTTGAAGAAAGATTAGAAAAACACTGTGGGAAAGCAGATTCTCATGAGTAATCAATCTTACTAGAGAAATCCAAGTTGTGAAAATGTCTATTCTTCCCTCACCTGACAGCAGGATGGATATGCACATATATATTTTCTGCTGTGTCGATTAGGACAGTGAGGAGGATGGCAGATGCCTTGGCCAGCGCTGTAGACAGACCAATCCACGTGTTTCTTCAGACACTGTTTGGGGCACTGAGTTCAAATAGCATGTGATCAGAGCAGTTTGAGTCACCAGGCCAAACACAGTTATCAGAAGAAACAGATAAACTAATAGTCTTCTGTACTCTGGCGTATGTGTTTGCATAGGTAAGACTTTAAGATTGAAAGCAAATTATGTTTCTTTTTTAGCAGTGATAGATTACTCTTAGTATTTGTGGTGCAGTTTTCTTAAAGTATTCCTGGAACGCTAATAATGTAAAGCATATTTATTTTGCAACATACCTATGGGATGGACACCTACTACTTATCTTGCTCCTACAGATGGGGAACTGAAGTGTTCAATAAAGCAAGACACTGCACACGATTGTGCAGGAGGGACTGCAGCAGGACAGGCAGGAGGGTGCTGAGTCTGTTGCTCAATACTGGTGAAAACCATCAAGCTCTGCTCCATACTCTACCCATTAGGTTCTTCCTCAATGCTTCTAAGGTGTCTTAGTGTATTTCCTCACCTGGACAAGGTGAGATTGGGCTCTTCCAAGGAGGAAATGCCAAGCCTGGTGAAGGAGGGGCAAGACAGATGGATGCTGATGTAAGTCTGAGGAAAGGTGTGGAATATCCTCTAGCTAGCTATGTTACCACTGCTTCTTTAGCAAACGTGGCTTCCCTGATGCTGGCACATCACAGCTATTGAAGCTCTGTTCCTCTGGGCAAACACCTGCTTTTCCTGGGTGCAGAGCCAGCTCTGCTGATGTCCCCTTTAAGACAGAGCTGATATAAGTGGCTGGATTGGTCACAGAGCCTTCTGCCCAGTCACTGGCTCCAGAGCTTCTGCCACTGTGCCACGTCCTTGGGCTCTCTGGCTGCCTTCTTTCTGACTTGGCCTTGCAAGCGGCACCAAAGTGTTTTGTTTGGGGAAAAGAAACTTGTAAAGTTGGCAGAAGGAATTCTATTTTGAGGGAGTTGCATGGTGAACAGTAACAATGAGTTTTATTTCTCAGAATGTATCTACGTTTATAGGTTGCTATATTTAAAAAGAAGAA